AAGAGGTTTGTTTAATTGGACAGAATCAAAGTGAATATGAAAGGACCTCGGTTCTTTTTTTTGGGAAGAAATTTTCAGAAATGATGGGTAAAACAATTTGGAAGAAACGAAACAAAATGAAATGGTGCAAAAAAAGTAGAAGCTTCACAGAGATGATCCACTCGCAAATGCATCAAATGGTGAGAATAGCAGAGGTGACATAGAGATTTCTTTAGTTGGTCCGAAAAAAAAAAGGGTGAAAGAACTAGCTTCTGTGAACAAAACAACTTGGGAGAAACGAAACGAAATGAAATTGTGAAAAATAGGAAGTTTCAAAGAAGGAATACAAAATCAGGAGCGGAAAGTAGAATTGGATGGCAAAGATGAGAACGCACTAGCACCGGGAATAGCAATGGAACTTTGCAGCGTTATTTCCACGGTAATGGACAGCAACCATGTCCCACCCAAAAGAGAGAGAGAGAGAGAGAGAGCCATCATGAATCATGGTTCATCACAGGGCTTTTTCTTTTGTGTTAAAAGAAAAAACAAAAAATGAAAAAGGTAAATGGATGAAGCATCATGAATTTAAAAAGAAAAGAAAACAAAAGCCATAGGTCCAATATGACTTTAGTCTTTACGGGTGAAAATCATACGGTGTTTTTGGTTGGATATGACTTTAGGTTCCTAAACTTTCTTTTTATATCTTTATTTATGTATTTTTATATTTTACTATTATAATTAAAAAAATAAAAATAATATTTTTATTTTTTTATTTTTCTTAATATTATTCTTTATCAAAAAACTATTTTTAATACTTAAAAAAAAAAAACGTTTTTCTCTTAATTTTTTTTTATATAGGATTGGCTTAGAGCTACTAAAAATCGCTGAACTTATCAAGAAGGTTCATTATCATCCTTGTACCAAAAAAGAGTTCATAAAAATCCTTGAACTTTGGTAAAGAAACCTCGCGTTGTCCCTCCGTCAATAGCCGTTAACCAGAGTGCTCCTGGTACTAACGGTTGATTACATGACGCTAATGGAGGGCTGACTTGGCATTCAAAATACCTTTTTAACCTCTCACATGTCATAAGAATGAAAGGGCAAAATGATAATTAAACTTATAGAAAAAAATTTTTTTTTTTGACTAGGTAGATGGTTAAGAAGTTAGTAGAGTTAATTTGTTAGCAGCTGAAATTTTTCCAGGGTAGTGAACGTTCCACCCCCTCATATGAGGCGCGCGACCATTAGGTTGCAAATTGGTGGAGTTCACGGCGGTGGCAGGGTTCGAAACCCTAACCTTCGCCCTCACCCAAACCCTAAGGCTTGAGGACCAACCATTGGGCCTCAGGCCCGGTTGGTAACTTATAGAAATTTATTAGAATGAGATTAAGGAAAATCAATGATATTGCCAAGCATGTGTTAATGATGTTTTTGCGCTTTTGAGCCACAGAAGAATAATATTAATAGCCTAACAACTCATTTACATATAAATTTTATATATTTTATTTATATAAAATCTTAATTATTTATTTATACTTTTAATAGTTAAAATTTATTAATAATAATTATTTATTTTTACTTAAAAAATTATAATAAATCTCAACTATTAAAAATAAAAAAATAAATAATTGAAATTTTATATAAGCATTATGTTTAAAATTTATGTGTAAATGAATTACACCTCATATTAATAAGTGTTGCCCATAAAAAACTTTTTAATATGTGTCTTTAAAATATATATTAATAATATGTATTTATTACATATTTTTATCATTAATTTATATAAAAATTATGAAAAATAAACTTTATTTTTAACATTAATATCATAGTAAACGATTCAAT